ATTTATTTTCCATCCTCATAGCCCACCTCCCCAAGATCTATCTTGATATTATCCTTCATTCTCCTTCTTGGTCGTGCATTTTGAATTATGAAGAAAAGGAATCAAGATTTAACTGACTGTTAACCTGGAAATACTTTCACATTTAGGGGGTCACAGCTGTAAAACAATCTTTAAAATTACTTATCTGGTCTCACTGTAAATTATGTAGTAACTTGTAAGAATGCTGTAGGTTCTTTGTGTGATTATAAAAATATATTGGTTTGTGCCTGTACATGGCAAGGAAGTTTAATAAAATATTATTACTTTCATATTGCTTTTGTACATTCTGGTTAGCCTGATGGATTTCTTACCAGTTTGTGTAACTGCTGCCTATTAATTAAGTTGTAAAGGACACGTGGTAATCAAATGACAACCAGACAAAATACTTGTTTCAACTAAAACAGAGGAAATCTTTATCTGTTTTGCTGTGTGTGAAACTTTTAACTAACAATAATTTATCTATAGCATTAAGTTTAAAAGATTCCTCAATCTGAGGTATTAAACATACATGAGATAAATACTGAATTCTTTCATAAGTAATTACCAACATTATAAATATAAACAATATCAGTAATCTGAAATATGTGTCCTTGAATTTATAAACGTTCTCTTATTCATCATCTCGCTCCCATCGTACACACGACGTAGTTATTGTCAAAGAAAACAAAGATCACAGTGTATTATTGATATTATTTGCAAGTGACCACTATTGGTTATGCGTGTTTCAGTTCATAACAAATGACCCTCGTTAGTATTTAAGACTCTGAAATTTACTGTATTTCAAAACAGCTGTAGCACTTGAACTTAAAATAAGAATACTGGAACTTGTATATTAACAGATGATCCAAAACATGATATTGCAAGGATCGTCGTAACAGAGATGCGTGGCACTAACAACATTTACCTGTGGTTAGGTTAGCTTTGGTTAGGTTAGGTTAGGTTAGGTTAGGTTAATTAAAATATTGTTATTTTTACGCTAGTTTAAGATATACCTTTAATTAACAAAACCAAAGCTAGTGTAACATAAGGTAGAATGTTCATTCTTATGCATGGCACCATTACAACAATTCCTTAAATGCCATTTAGGGTCATCCATTAATACCAAAGTATCAAAATCTATCAGGATTCCTTCTTAGTTACATATTTAGCGTTCATTTAGAAGGACTCACATCTGACATAATTTGTCTTGAATTAAAGTCCTTCTTACCGTGCACTTAAGAAATATTTCCAAATTTTTAATATAAGACACGTCTGAACTATAATGTCTAACAGGAATACTCATTAAAAAATGTAGGCATTTATCAAAAGTTTATGTTCCCTGAAATATGTGGAAATTTATTTCAACGTTACCTCTAGAACTGAAGGATAAATGTAAAAAAGAAAAATTTCCTGTAGCTTATTTGAAAACATGCTATGCTAGTGACAGTGTTAAGATTTTGGTTATAGTTAAGTAGATTCGGATTGTACTTGGAAAAAAATATTATGTAGTTTCATTTTCCTCTTTTTATATGGACAGTCCAGCCATATCTGCGTTCATTCATACTGCGCAGTAATAAAATCTGTGGTATGATAAGCAAAGTTCATGTCGGGTGTGTCTCGACAACTTGCCAAATAAACTTATTGAATTAATTCATACTCAGTGCGTTTGACCACTTTGATTATGATTTAGCATGGTTTGTTTTAATGGGGACTTTAATTAAAGGTCTAAATGAATTTCGATGTATTTTTCAAGTCCTTTTAAAATTTGTAATGAAAAATTGATTATTTAGCACTTATATAAATTTAGTTCACTTTGATCAGTTTTAAAAGCTAGTTTATTCAAGGTTCGAACTGAATATTTTTTCAAATCTTTTGAACTCTGACAAATATTTACGTCATTTAATATGTGGTGCTATTTTACGATCGTGTATAGATTTTATTAACTGAAATTTGTATTAAGCCAGTTTACTTACCTTAAGGACCTAATTTAACCTTTATGAAAAAGTGTTTTGAGTTTTGATAAGAAATATTGAAACGCAGGGTAGGACTTTTCTATTATAAAAGTTTTAAACTTAAAATTTTTTAAGTCGTACATTACTTAATGGGCTAAATACATTTTTGGGCACATCGTTCTAATTATTTACCTGAGAGAGAAATGTCATCAACAGATGTTATAGGCATCCGTGAAGTACACGTCAGGTATAATGCTACTTCTAAAAGCATTATCCAAAATTCTGCAATCAACCTACCATTTAGCTGTTTTCCGTCACATCTAAACAGTACCGACTTAATTGTATATTATAAAAATTATAGTTTTGACTTTATTAGCGTGATTTAAAGTATGAAACTCAGGTGAAAAATAATGACTTTAAGGGACAGGAAATATTTCTTGTCTCTTGGTGTCCTAGTATGGATGTCTAATTGGATTCGACACGCATCACAGAGCAATATTAAGTAATATGTTTCCCATTCAGAATTCACTGACCATTAAAATTCTTGTTTGTGTCATTGTTTTAAGAACATAATCAACATCAAATTTGGAATTTTATTAGAAATGTATTCTTTATAATGAATTTCATATTGAAAGAATATCATATTTTGAAATGAAAATGTTTCACTCAACGAAAGAATCGTGTATATAATCAGCATATTTATTACCTAGATAAATCATAATTATGATTTAATTTTTATTTTTTAGTATTTGTAGGGCCACATGTTTGAAGTTCCTTTATTAAGTCAGTTGGTATGAACTTATAACCTTCTTAGTGTTAGGAATAAATATTCCTATCAAGGCACTTAACACTTACGTTGTTAAAAAAATATGACATTCAGCCTTTATCAATGAAGATTGTAGAAGTCTGCTCAAACTTGCATTTCAGATCCATTAAGCACCAAATTTTGTTAATAAATTAAAGTTAAAAGAAGATAGATCTGTAAAACATTTGATTATGGCTTTGTTATTCTATAAATTCTTACCAAAAATCTTTAGAAAAGGCACCAAAATCTTTGAGCACTGTGTAAAAAACACACAGGATTAATGTTCGATATTTAGCGGTAGGAATGAAGAGGGCTGACTGGATGTTAATGTGACGATAAGCCATAAACCTACTAATAAGTTTTTAAAATAAATAACTGTGTATATAAATAATTGACGTGTGTGATAGCTAAGGCTTCACCATTATAAGTCTATTGAAATTTGTTGAAACGGATTCAAGCCTTGCTTGGAAATGTGACACTTAAATAGCACGCATCACTTTTTGAGTTGTGATATTGCACACAGCTTTGAATTGCACAACACACAAAGGGTAAGTGTGATATATGAAAATACTGTTAATGGTGTTGATCAGAGTACACCCAAAAATTAATTTTACCTCCAGAAAGTATAATTCTCAGTTTACAAAATAACCGGACGTCACAACGAGGAAGTACGTTAGTGAAAATTGAGCATAATTTTAATTCTTCTAAAGTTTTTACTCAATGGGATAAAAATATTAAAAAGTATCTTTCTGTGCCATTAGACTATTATACTCTTATAAATATGTTACACATTTATACATATCAGTTAATATTATAATGCCACACACCTATACCCTCCCACCCCCAATCTCCCACACAAGTTTTATATAAATTCACCACATGTACTAGCACCAATACACTTTTGAAGATTATAAAACAATTTTTTTTAAAAAAAATTTCCACTCTAATTAGACCATGGCTTTGGATAATTATTACCTTGATATGTGATAACAGTGACATATATCACTATTTGAAATCTTTAAATTGGTTTTAATTTCAGAATTCTTACAGCGATGAAGTAGTTTAGACTTCAGAGTGAGCAACATAACAGCAAACACACCTCTACTCGAATAACTGTAATAATATAAATCACAGATCCACTAATCTTATGTTTAGGATATCCTTGTTACGTGTGTTGACATTAAATAAATTAGATTTTCTGGTTAACACAACAATTTTATATTTTTACTTTTCATTTGCTGATAAAATCTCACTTTTCTACTTGTTTCAATGCTAAAAAATTATCCTCATGCCACTAGTACATTGCGAATAACATGTTTAAGCCATTTTTTATATATATATTAACATTGTCCGTATTTATTTAACTGGATCCATTATGCATCTTTATAAGTTATTATGCTTAAAATCTTAAAATCTCATGGTTTGTTACGAGCATTCTTTCAGTTTTATACAAGTCACTTATCTGCATTATTTTGTGTTACGCCAAAAATAGTACATTTACGTAACATAAATATTAAAACATATATTTACGGTTCGGATATTTGTCGTCATGAGATTTATGAATCATAGAACACTGTTGCTTGGAAGTCTGTGTGCACCGCTAAACTTTCCTCAAATGGAGATGGCTGTCTTCTGGGTGGCAACACCATGTAGTCTGGTAGAAGTTTACTGACATTTCAGAGGTCCTTGCTGCCTCAATCACCTCTGAAATGTTGGTAAACTTCTACCAGACTACACGGCAGTACAACCCAGAAGAAATCCGTGTTTCGTACTCGCTGCCATTATAACCTCAAAATCCTACTTTCATAAAATGGTAGTTTTCTGGTATATACATTCTTTGATTATTCCTATACTCCCATTGTGATATTCAGTTGCGTTAGATTAATTTCCTGGTTCACCCCTAACCCCAGCTCCCCTAGTCCATACAAACACCTTAAGAACGGAAACCACCTCAAACTTGACGACAGTGAATTTCTGCAAAAAAATATTACAGAATAATACACCTGAAGAACAGAGACAACCAAATGGAAAACTATGACATTTTTAGAAAGTTAAATAGCACACATCTCCAAACAAAAGTGTTTAATGACGCACAAGTCTCGTAAGAATTGTTAAATTTTAATGTGTATCATATACTAACCAACTAACTAGATAGCTTACGGAACCCGAAGGTTCATCACCGAATTAACCAAAGCCCTGTCCTGGGCCAACAAAATCCAGCCTCCTTCAACTCCTATCTCCCATAGATCCCGCCTGAGATTATCCTTCCATCTACGTCTAGGTCTCCCCAGGGGTCTCTTCCCCTCAGGCTTCCTAACAAATCGAAGGGGCCAACCCCCCGCGGTATGATATACAATTACGTTATTTAATAAATAGACTTAATAATACATTATCTTTCGGAACATACCCAGTGGTTTTAAGATTTTAATATAAATGAAGACACATATAAACGACATAATGTATCTATTATTATTCTATAGTCTGAGGATGATGTGTTGATGTCGAAATACCAGCCGAGTGGGATTATATTCTTATATGAAAAGGGAAATAAAATTGTTGAGTTGGCTGAAATTCTTATTTACTTAACAGATCCATTAATTCCTAAAGTTGGCAAGTTGTTAATTTAATTTGTTTGATGGTAAGCACCATTTAAATACTCAAGTAGTATTTACTAACCACAACAAATAATATTTATATTACTACCTACAATTAAAACAAGTTAAATTATGTAACAATTTTCAGGAGGATTTGCAATGGGTGTCATATTATAAAATATCAGAAAATTCCATCTTGTTTAATCTTATTATACTCACTTCATTATCCACATATAAATAAAATTCTTAAGTTGGTATGTAACTAATTTCCTATCAAGAACACATGTAGAATCTTTGGCCACTTCCCAACATCCCTATGTCTCGACGACATGCATTCTTCAGTTCAATAAAAGTACTGTACCTGCATTTAGAATAGTAAGGCATTTTTACTACTGTAAGAAAGTGTCTGTATTAAAAGTACACGGCCTTAGAAGGCCACTGCATGCCTTCAGAATAAATAAATGAAGTCCACAAATTACCTGTGCGAAATACTGAATTATGATTCAGTTTCTCCCAATTTCAAATGTGTGGTAGAAAATGTGAATTGTTTAAACAAGAAACACAAACTATCGTGTCCTTTACTCCATGGATAAGAATTCTGCAGATGAAAGTATGGTTGATGTATTTCTGGTATCTAATAACTTTATGCTTTAAAAATTATCCCGCTGCTTCGGATATTTATTAGAATGACGACGTCAATCTTTGCAGAGATTCACTAACAGGATTCTGCACACTTGTTTTCGACTCTGGGATCCATTTATGATTAATATGATGGGAGAACGCTTCACAATCGTGCTTTACGATGGAAGTATAATGGATGCAGGGTCACCAACCGTCAGCCACAAAAGTTTCTATCAATACTTTGGATCAGTTGTCTTCATCAAGGAAATGTATCGGACATTCAACCTTCATGGCTCGCCATGGCCTGGGAGACCTGATGACATTGCTGCTTTTGTGTTGGCGATGTAGCAGCTGATGAATGCGTCCTGGGACGTAGAAGTCGAAGGGCCATCCAGCTCGCTAGAGAGTTGACCACCATTGTGCCAGTGTGCTGCTGCTGTTGTTGTTGTTGTTGTTGTTGTGCTCTCTGCTGAGCTAGATTCTGGGCTTCACGCTGCAGTTGGTACCGGTATAACAGGGACCCTGCTACCAGCGCCGAAACTACGGCAGATACCGCAACTAAAACGAATAACACGCTGAAACCTGGCACCGGAAGGCAAATACCGTACACCACTTCCTCACGCATGCGCCCTTGGAATACAGTCACTGCCTCAGCGCGCATGTCTGGCGTAAAGGCCAGGTCTACTTCTGAGATGACTTCGTACAGACCACTCACACCAACATCTGCACTACGAACTTTTCGGTCTGATACTACGATCGAGCGACGTTTGCGTTGACTCGTCGAGGACCTGGCTGATGATGAGCGATCCAAGATTGGCATGTCGTCTTCTCCCAGGTTTCGGGGGCCGTGTGGAAAACGCTCTTGTCCGTCGCGATGCCCAGGACGTGGTTGCTCCTGTAAGAAGTTTCTATAGTCAGGTTTGTATTCGAGGGCGGCGCCCAAGTGCTATTTTGAGCGAACTGGAATTTCTTGTCATAAAATTTGTCGAAAGGCAAAGTATTTGAGCAAGAAATTGAATTACTGTCAGTAGACCATTCGTAATGGAAATACGGAAAACACGACATCGGCCTACTTGCCGTGCGTTTAGCATAATTCTAACAGCAAGCGCCTCTGAAACGTTTGTGGACATTTACCGTACTACACGGCGCAACAACCCAGAAGACAGAAATCTTCAGACTCACCGCATTGAAAACCTCAAAACTTACAATACGTCGGCTGTAATACACTCGGTAAATTGTATTCGATGTATTCCTACAGGAATACCGTTCCTATTATTATTATTTAGTGTTCTGTCTGACGACAGGTCCATATGAACAGGATCCTTCCATCCTTTTCTCGGACTGGGACCTGTTCATATACGTTCTTGGCAGATGATCCAGAAGTGGTTTGCCATTGCCTTCTTCTGTGTGTGAATGGAGTAATTGTTGGGATGCCACGGAGGAAAACTCCGTGTTGCCTAGACCACGGCCTTGTCCAACACAAGTTATAAATTCGGGCACCGCCGGGAATCGAACCCGAGACCCCCAGGATTACAAGACCAGCGTTCTAACCGCTAGACCAGGAAAACATGAGTCAGGTATAATAAATACAATGAGATCTTGCCTGGAAAGGACGACGCAAAGGTTCCGTATCGTGACCCTCATCAACGGGTTTATGAGCTGGTATGGCGTGGGTCTGAGCCTGTGCAGTTGGCGACCTGGAGTCAGTGCTGACGACGACTGGAAAATGTCCCGCTGACTGTTCTTCATCTTCTGCTTCGTCGTAAATAAGCAACTCCGGGCCTAAAGGAGACTCTGAGACGGGTTTCGACTGCTGGTCCTTACGATCGACCGGTCCGAAGTGAGGAGAGTCGTGGTGTGAACCCAGCTGGCAGTGGTCCAGACACCCGTGCCGGCATATCTCCACCTTACACTTGATGTGCACGCTCAGGGCGTCTGGAAATTTGAACGCGTGGAAGAACGCGTATGTGATAACAGTAGCTCGCTCGTCAGCTGCCCTGGCTTTGATGAACCGACTAATCATCTTAGGCCGCAAAACACAACCTTGTTCGTCCGACAGCTGAATCACGTGGCCCCCACCGTCGGAAGCTGCACAAGATTTGACTCTCATGTCAAATTCTCCTGGAACAAGCGAAGAATGAAATTATGAGACAAATACAGGAGATCGTGGTTGGTGCTGGTGACGTGGATAATGAATCGGGAAGCTACTGTCACAGAATATCTGGAGAGACTGAGGAAAACCACAAAACACTGTCTAGATTATCGGTCTCTGGACCGAGATTTGATCCCAGATATCACTGAATACGAATTTGAAGTGCTAAGCACTTTGGTATTTTCAATTTAACATTTTGTACCTTAAGTTGTACATGTCTTTTAGTTTAATCAGCCCAATTTTTTATATATATGTATATATATATATACTTAGCTCATCACATAAACGTATCTCTTATCTACATCCTACTAGAAGAGGTAAGAGTTTCTAGACCCTACGATCTTTTGAAATTCGATACATTATGGTTGTCGTACTGTCGGTCGCATATCGATATATCGATATATAGTTGTTGTACGCTCTCCCTTACCGCGATAATCGTTAATGGCTACGACGAGGGTCAGTATGGAACCGAGAGGCACAATCCCACTAACTGGAGGTGCCCAGGGCCCTTTGCCATGTTGAATCTCCATCCAGCAGTCTACGTTGTCTCCTGAGAAAGAAAAAACAGTGCCTTCATTAGCAACCATGACATGCTTCAACACTCGAAACACGTCGCATTAGCCTATGTCATTCGAATTGTATAGAGACCACGAGACTCCTATCATGTAGACTTAAAATATGTTTGAAATAATAACGGAACTGTAAAAGTACAGATCTTTCAAGAGGTCCTTCGCCCCAGTTCGTTAACCACTATTCACAGTCTGATTCTTAAAGAATTCCGCATTTTTGTCGATATCAACATTTCGGAGGAACATACTGCCACAAATCCTCAAGACTTGGACCCTGAAGATGGAGGCAGAATCTTCCTCCGAAACGTGGTACCCACCAACAAAATGATACGGCGTGAATATCCAGAAGGACGCCAGGGCCATCTTCAACGCCTTAAGAATTTAAAGTCTCACACAGTTTTCTTCAGGCAGATGTTAACATTTGCATCACGTCTCTGTTTGGCGTTATCACCTCGACATGACGGGAGAACTCGGTGACCCTCATGACCGAGGCGAATAGGTGAAGAATATCCCGTGTATCATGTTCGAAATGAACTTCTGTCTGCATTTCTTGTCTCCCTGATGGTTGAGACAATATTTATCCAAGGAATATTTCGTCATCATTAGGAACACGAGGACGTACCTTTCACACCATGTCCTGCAATAAACCTACCTCACAGGCGTTAAGGATTTCTGATTTCTCACGGCTGTGAGTACGAAGATGGCTGTCTTCTGGGGGGCTACAATATTGAATACAGAAATTTTGCATGTAGTTTGAACGCAGATTCATCTACCTTCTATGTAGTTGATATAGCGGTCTCAACTTTCGTCCCTTCCAGCTCCCTCTACGCGGTGTCACGTCTGCGTGACCACACTTTTTGCCTGAGTATGTAAACAAATTCTGCGGTATTAGAAACTGACAGTACTGAAGAAATATACGAGGTGCGATCGGAAAGTTTCAAGACTGCGCCTATAAAAACCCGTACACTTATCTCAGGTATTAAATTCATCCATCACCCTCGAAGTAGTTCCCCTGGGAGTGAACACAACGAATCCTCGAATTAGCATTTGTTTCTTAGTTACGGGCGTTTTGGTAGTGCATTACACCGACCCTCCTGCGCTTTCGGAATGGCGTGTGCATCAAATTTTGCCAAAGACTCGCCTAAACGGCTACGGAAACCTATGAAATGCTAAAGCAAGCATTTGGGGAGTCCGCAATGGGTCGTGCACCAACTTTTGTGTGGCATTCACGTTTTAAAAATGGCCGAACCTCTGTCGATGATGCCGAGCGTTCTGGACGACCATCTTCGAGCGCAACGCCCGAAAATGTTACGAAGATCGACGTCGTACCATCAACGACTTGTGCGACATTTTTGGGATAGGCTATGGGACCTGTCAGCTGATTCTAAAGGATGAACTCCACATGCGACGCATCCTGTCAGAGGACTAGAAGCAGAATCGACTTCTCGTTTGTCAGGAGCTCAAAGATCTTGCAAGAACCGACCCCAACTTCCTTTCTAAGCTCCGTGTGACTTCTTCCTCTTCCCAAAGATGAAAATTCAGCTAAAGGGAAGGAGATTTGAGACGATAGAAGAGATTCAGGCAGAATCGCAGATAGTGAATTTAATACCTGAGATAAGTGTACGGGTTTTTATACGCGCAGTCTGGAAACTTTCTGATCGCACCTCGTAGTAGGCAGATAGAAGGCCATGTCACTGCTCCTATACCTCGAAAGTCGAGCTGAATGACATCGAGGTCTGCAATGACCATTGGCGGTTTAGAAGCTGTCTTCTCATAGTCGTTAAACCATTCACATCTTAGTCGTTTCGCCTCGTCCCACACTTCCAGAAGATCTTTGTCGTACTGTACAACGACCGTGTTCTCGTAGAATTGACCGTGGAGGTCAGGCTTCGTACCACAACGTGCGTAAGCGATACGGAATGAGAAGAAGGTTTTGCCGCTAGATGGCGGTACGTAGACGCATCTCGGATCTGCATATTGCCCTTTGGAAGATACAATCCCTTCGAAGGGATGTGTAAACGAGAGGTGGACGTCCATGTGGTCCTTTCCGCACATAACCTCCAGAGACTGTATCGCTGGCATTCCTTCCGGTCGCTCCAGTGGCCAGATGTCTCCGTTACCAGTCGCAAAAGTTACAGCCTGCAAAAGAGACGAACGTTGTGTAAGATGAGGTTCTCACGACGGTCAGGATGTCAATGTCGGTCTTCTGGGTTGTAAGGTCATGTGGGTTTGTAGACAGATACCAACGTTCGAGAGGAAAATAAATACCTATATCATCAGGTAGTTTGTTCCTGCGGTATTTACCTACAACATCGCATGACATTACTGCTCAGAACAGAAACATTTATAATATTGTTCATAAGGTAGAATATTTGCGTCATATTGTGAATTAGGTTAATATTTTAATATTTTCCGTCAAATCACAATTTTAATAAGATGATAAAATATAAAATATTTAAAATATCATTTCACGTTCCGCATCAAATGATCGATTTACAAATTGGAACGTCTCTTACGACATGTTTCGGTTATATTTAACCGTCCTCAGGTATAAA